CTGTGTCGCAGTAAATAGTGCTTAATAGTGATAATCTATTTTAATAGTATAACTCTAAGTACTAGTCTGTTCCTGTGTATTCATTGTATTAACTTCTTAGAATTTATTGAGTTACCCATTTCTTGTATTATAATTATGTTTTTGTACTTAAATAAGTACAGAGATTCTTTTGCCCTTAAACACCTGTCTACTGTTTCTCCATTCACATCCCCATAAATAGGTCCTGTGTCCAGAACCAGGGGTCTAGGAGCAATTCGAACCGCTTAAAGATCAGGAAAACTACTGATTGCAAACCAGAACCCCATGGTAGGTACTGCTGATGAGTCTTTGTCAGATTTATTATATTCAAAAGAAGATTTAATTCTGGAGATTGACTAGTCAATCGAGAGGTTTGCAAGCAGGACAGATCAATTCTCAGAATAAGGAATAAAACCTGATACAGCAGATCTACAATTTCCTTAAAAACAAGGCAAAAAAAAATCTAAGAGAAGAAGTTGCAGCTAGGAGGACAAACACAAATGTCAGGAATTTCTGCCATTAAAGCAGCATATTTCCATTCCAAGAAAATCATTTTCAGAAGGTGTGAAAAGCATAACAGAATCTGAAATGCCATAAAAGTGAAGGTGTTCATGCACAAAACTTGAAAAGGAGAACAATCTTCTTAAGATGACAAATTGGAACTGATCAATGTTTCTGATCAGACATTTTCTCAAACAGACCTTTACAAATTTCATGTTAGACGTTGGAGCAAAAGGAACAGGCTTGTTGGACAGACAACCTTGGTTATAAAATATTGCCTGTAACTAATGGAAATTTAGTTACATGGTCAAGGAGAAACTAAATTAAAAATCGAAGATATGCTACAATCAACTCACAACATATGGTAACCCAAATAACAGCAAGTTAATACAGGTTACAGAATCAACAATTTCCATTTGAGCAAAGAAGCAGTATTGATATTAGCTTATTCAGAAAGTTGAAGAACATGATCTAAGAGTAAGAAGAATTTTAAATCATCAGCATGGTAACTGCAGACCAACTGTTGATCGTCTTATCATAAGACTTTAATTTCAGTAAAGAAACTGAAGCATTCACTGAGTTCATTCTGTCATGAGGCCCACTATTTGATAAATCATCACAGATGTGTGTATATATCCATAATTAAACCATGAAGCTGATGAATTTGCCTTACTGATTGCTTTTGTCCTGAATAATAATTTAGATCAGATTTTGTCAATAACAGAAAAGTAACTACCAATTGTAAAGAAACTTGTATTTCAAATCAATTTAAGACACAGACTTTCATTAACAGGGCAGACAAAACAGAGGATTTGACAAATATTATGGGTGGAAAGATATACGCAGGAAAAAGAACACATTTCGTAGATCCACCTCCAGACCACAAATGTTGGAATGAGATAGTAAGAACTGCTGATGCTGGAGTCTGAGATAACACAGTGTGGAACTGGAGGAGCACAACAGGCCAGGCAGCATCAAAAGAGCAGTTGACATTTGTTGACGTTTCGGGTCGGGACCCTTCTTCAGAAATGGGGCTTTATGGTTTTTAATGTCAGATAGGGTGGAGTAAAATCGTAGGTTGAGGTTGAAGGTGAAGAATGAAAAACAGAACAGGTCCTTTGCAGGTCTAGGAGAGGGAGGCCCTGAGCTGGGGTAGAATTGATTGTAGTGGCAGAAGATGCCGGCACATTGCTGAGAGCGTGTGCTTGAGAAGCTGCAGAGAAAACCATTTTTGGAGGATCTGGATGTTGTGTATGTAGAGGTTGTCGCAGTCAGGGCCTAATTGGGAATGGCCTGAATGTAGATTGCAGTCCACTGGGGATGATCTGGTTCTGTAGGCAAGTACTGAGAAAGGCAATGTGGCTGTAATACCTGGTTTGCTTCAGTATGTGATCGAGCAGTTTCAGGGCCGATGAGATTACCAGAGGTTTGCAGTGGGAGAAAAATCCACTGAGGTTTTTCCAGAGGGAGGAGGATAACTTCTTCAAGGTGGGCATCCCTTGAAGAGGCTTCGCAGTGGGGTTATAATTCACTCAGAGATAGTAAGAACTGCTGATGCTGAAGTCCGAGATAACCCAGTGTGGAGCTGGAGGAGCACAGCAGGCCAGGCAGCATCAGAGGAGCAGGAAAGCTGACATTTCAGGAGAAGGGTCCCGACTTGGCCTGCTGTGCTGCTCCAACTCCGCACTGTGTCATCTCTAAATGGTGGAATGAGCTATGTTTTCCGTAGTTCTTCAGATTTCTTTTTAAGTGATGGTGACACAATGTTCTCTGCAGAGTGATGGTTGATCTCCCATTCAATAGCTGACTAGGTGGACCTGGGTTTTTCTGTATTAGAGTTATTTGTTTTCAGAGTCTTCAAGTTTTGTCATTTTTAACTGAGAGAAATTGAGAGAGAGAGAGAAATGTGTTATTTTGCAGGCTTCTCAAATCCCTGCTTGCACTGCAGTCTGTAATAAACTGCAGCTGGACCAATCCAAAGGTGGTTGTTAGGCAGTTTCCCTTAACTCAAACACACCTCGCAGTATCATAGAGATCGAGGGCACAGAAAGAGGCCCCCTAAGCCCATCGTATTCATGCCAGTCAAGAACCACCACCTAACTTTGTGCCACTCAAAGTATGCACATTTCTACTCTGTAAAGTAACTATCTTGAGTAGTTGATGTGTACACCATGCAATCTCTCTTGATTTTCAAGCTGAAAAAATATCTCCTGGTACTTTTAGCTATGTCCAACTTCCATTTCCCAGTTATTGTCTAAGAGGAAATAAAAATATATCATCCCTTACAAATTTGCCACAATGGCCAGCAAATCAGGATAGGTTGAAATAACTGTTAGAAGCAGATGCAGGAACAGAAACACATTAAAATCTTTCAATGTTGTACAGAAGTTTGGTGGAATAATCATGAAAATTACCATTATTATTGTCAATAAGATATTGGTCTATGATGAGTTTTGTTACTCCAACTTTACTCGGAGAAGAGAAACTACATCAAGGTCACTTGGACATCACCAAATGTAGATCAGGGGATCTGCCATCATTGTGTTCGCCTGGAATTTAAAACGATTGTGAAGAAATAATTTCTAATTGCCAAACATTTGCAATACACTGACCATATCAGGGAGAATGAGATTGATGCAACTAAGTTTCAACCAGTTATATATTAGGCAGACAAGATTTTTCAACCTGAAATTTGAGAGGCACAAGAAACTTCAGATCTTCAGGAAGACTGTTCAAATCAAGAACTAAGTAGTACAAGAGAAACGACTGTTTATCGGAGTCAGAAGTAAACAGATCTGGTGAGAGTTGTGAAATATCCAAAAAAACTGAATCTATGAAACCAGAGGGCAGAATCTTTGAAGACCCTGAATGACATGAGTCATGGAGTGAAAGTTGGGAAATTCGTACGAGGAGCTTATTGATGTCAAAGGAACTAAGTGTTGACCATTTCTTGCCAGTGAGCAACATGATGCCTATTTGTTTACATGTATTGACCTCTCCCCTTATTAGTATTCATTTAGTCACAGAATCCCTACATTGTTGAAACAGGCCCTTTGGCCCAACAAGTCCACACTGACCCTCAGAGCATCCCACCGAGACCCATCCCCCTATAACTCACCTAACCAACACATCCCTGAACACTATGGGCAATTTAGCATGGCCAATCCACCTAACCTGCACATCTTTGGACTGTGGGAGGAAACTGGAGTACCCGGAGGAAACCCACACAGACACAGGGAGAATGTGCAAACCCCACACAGACAGTCACCCAAGGGTGGAATCAAACCCGGGTCCCTGGCTCTGTGAGGCAGCAGTGCTAACCACTGAGCCACCATACCGCCCAAAGTCTCTGTCTTTGTACTGAGACATCTCAATCTCACACCTGAACTATATGCCAGCAGTTTATGTCGTAAACACACTGCAAGTGCATCAACCAAATGACGATAGCTCACACTCTAAGAACAGTATTCTTCAGTCAAAATGGCATTGGAACATTTCAGTTAGCACAAAACTGAGGAGAGAGGTGGTGGCATCGTGGTAATGTACTGAATTAGTAATCCCGAGTCCTAGGCTAATGTGTTACGACAAAGGTTCAAATTCTGCCATGGCAAAGTTCAAGAATTCTTTTAAAAAGCTAGTCTAATGGCAACCAAGTAACCATTGCTGACTGTCATACAAATATCCATTTGATTCACAAATGTTCTTTAGGGAAGCCATCCTTACCTGGCTTGGCTTACATGTGACTCCAGACCTACAACAATTTGAACTGCTCTCTGACCAGTTAGGTATGGGTAGTAAATGCTGACCTCGCCAATGTTCCCCACAGTCTATAAATGATTTTCTTTTTAGAAAACTGTACATTTTTGTATAGGACTTTGGTTCAACCGCATTTGGAATACTGCATACAGTTCTGGTCACCACATTACCAAAAGGATGTGGATGCTTTGGAGAGGGTGCAGAGGAGGTTCACCAGGATGTTGCCTGGTATGGAGGGTGCTAGCTATGAAGAGAGGTTGAGTAGATTAGGATTATTTACATTACAAAGAAGGAGGTTGAGGGGGGACCCTGATTGAGGTCTACAAAATCATGAGAGGTATAGACAGGGTGGATAGCAAGAAGCTTTTTCCCAGAGTGGGGGACTCAATTATTAGGGGTCATGATTTCAAGGTGAGAGGGGAAAAGTTTAAGGGAGATATGTGTGGAAAGTTCTTTATGCAGAGGGTGGTGGGTGCCTGGAACGCGTTGCCAGCGGAGGTGGTAGAGGCAGGCACGATAGCGTCATTTAAGATGTATCTAGACAGATACATGAATGGGCAGGCAGCAGAGGGATACAGATCCTTGGAAAATAGGTGACAGGTTTAGATAAAGGATCTGGATCGGCGCAGGCTTGGAGGGCCGAAGGGCCTGTTCCTGTGCTGTAATTTTCTTTGTTTTTTTGTTCTATTTGCTTTAAAGAAGTGCAGATTTTTATTGCTGCTTACCATATTTTTCAATGTGCTGACAGCATTGCTGCACTATTCTGGGGACCTGCCGGAATATGGGGTTCAGGCTGAGCTTCTTTTTCGTCTTTCTTACACTTTTCCTTTCCCGTTCCAATGGTAGAGAGAGCTGAAGGGCTTCCAGCAATCGTGACTGGTTGTCGTCTAGGTCAGTGATGGAATCAACAGATACTGCACCCTGAAAAGCAAGTAGACAAAATTCATTCCATATTCCAGTTGAGTGACTTAAGACTATCGGTAACAATATATTAGTCTAGAATGTAGCTAGAAAATTCCCAATGAAATCCAGGATACTTGCTTTAAATGAAACAGCGATGAAAGATGGATTGCAAAAATCCTTACTGCATCACTGAAAGTGGAGTTGGGATTCTCATGAATGATAAACCATGATACTAGGATTGCTCGAAGAAGGTATCTTGATTTATGTTGCAATAGATCAAGTGGAGTGGTTATTCAGCCCATCAGGTCCACACCGCCCTTCCGAAGAGCATCCACCCCTGACTCATTCCTCTACCCCTGCATTTCCACATGTCTAACCCAAACATCCCTGAACGCTATGGGTAATTTAGCATGGCCAATCCACCTAGCCTGCACATCTTTGGACCATGGGAGGAAGCCAGAGCACCTGGAGGAAACCCATGCAGACACAGGGAGAAAGTGCAAGCTCCACACAGACAGTCGCCCGAGGGTGGAATTGAACCTGGGTCCCTGACATTGTAAGGCAGCAGTGCTAACCACTGAGCCACCGTGCATAAGAATTTCAGTGCTCATTAAGCTGTTTCAATCATCAGGTATTATCTAAAGCTGTCATGTATTATTTTGAAACATATATATCATTCTTTCATGTATAAATACTTGTTATCTTGTTCAAATTTCTCATGTTGGAAAAATAACATACCCGTCTGTGGCCTCGAGAAAGATTATCCAGAAAAGTTGGAGAGAGGGGTTCGTTTACTATTTCTGATGCTGACTGCAGGAATGCATCACTGTCATATAAATGTTTATGTTGCTTCTTTGCCCGAAATCTCATTACTGTCGACTCCAAATCAAGGCAGTCCCTTCGCCCTTCCTTCATTGCATCTTGCTTTTTCTTACATGCACGATCATTGAGGATGACTTGTGATAAAGGAATCCCAAATCCTAAAGGATACGACTCTGCAAAAGTAAAGGAACAATGCTAGGTCAGATGTCTTAAATCTTCATCTAAAATCTACATATTTCCACATTCAAAAGACTAGGATTCTGAGGGGTGGTTAATTAGTTTTCTACTTTGGCTAGTTGCCAATTACACCAAAGCATGTAATTTATTTACTCTTGTTTACTTAAAACGTACTGTCTACTACCCAGTCCTATGTCTGTCTTCCAACCCTTAAATCTGCTTATATCTGATATCTGAAGAAGTGTCCTGACCCGAAACATCAATTTTCCTGCTCCTCTGATGCTGCCTAGCCTGCTGTGTTCCTCCAGCTCCACACTGTGCTATCACTGACTCCAGCATATGCAGTTCTTGCTACCTCTATGTCTAATAGCTTTTGTAAACAGGCTTTCAAATTTTTCATGTAAACTGAACAGCAGCAGTTCATTTTTGACATTTTTCATCTGGTATTGCAGGATTTACAATAAATATATCAGCACAGCCATTCCAGTGTCTGTAAAGTAAACAGCACTTCAAAATGAAGCCAGTAATAGCATTCAATGATTACTGAATGCCTATATTTTCTCACATGCATTATTTTAGCTAAATAATTTATTTTCAATTTGTCATTAAAATAACACAGACTGGTAAATCTTAGATTATTTAATTCAACCTTTTAAAATATATTCTTGAGTCACTATTTTGGCTATCCCTGTTCTCTCCTGCTCATCATTGTCCTGCAGCACAATGGAGCAAGATCTTATTGTGAAGCTTCTTGATATTGTGTCTGAATCATCTTCAAGCCTTTTAAATAAGGCTCACAGTTCTATAATCTTCTTGATTAAGGAGAAGAAAACGAGGCAAATGAAAAAGAAATGGTGGAAAGGAAGTTTTCTTTATTCCCATTCCATTAAACTGATTTAAAATTGAACATGAATTTTAAAACAAATTAAACTTTTTTTGAATCAATCATATAGGAAGGTGGGTTGGGAGGAGTAAAACTGGTTGAAGTTAATATCTGTGTTGGTGACCATGAAACTAGAGAATTACATAAAACCCATCCAGCTGTCAATTAGTTTTGTGAAAGGAAAACCAGCGCCTTACCCAATCTGGCCTAATGTGACTCACAGCAGCTGGATTGTTTCTCAACTCCCCCTTCAAATAGCATGGAGAAGTTACTCAGTTGTATTTAAGGTGACTCAACATCACCTTTCTAAAGGCAATTAATGACAGCGATAAGTGCTGACTTTGCCAACGACACCAATATCCTACAAATTATTTTTTTCTTTAATTTTGACTGCGATCTCTGACCTTAGAAAATAGGAATGTGTGTAAATGATGGTGGCTGAAAAATCTGGTGAGTTACAGTAGAGGAATTTGGAAATACAGAAGAGTTAATTGGATTATTTACACTCAGAGCAAACACAAGAATGCTAAATGATCACATCAATTTATACAACAGGAGGAAAGGATGCTGATTGGTTGACAAGTTCATTCTGATTGGCTGAAGCATTACCATGGAGAAAATAACAGGGACATATAGGTGTCTCAACCTCGAGGTTAATTCACAATAAGTGCAGTCAAAGACTTTAGTATGTTATTTTTGTTTGCGCATGAATGTATGTAACTTTTGGCAGTATAAATGATTCACATTCCCTCTCAACCACTGCAATGCAGCACCTTGGAGGGTCCACACAGGCTGATCTTTAACTTCTAGTTTCTCCAGCTGTTTTTGCACATGGACTTGGGATGTCCAAGAATGTAGTTTACGAGCTTGACTGATTATTCTAAATTGGTCGTAAATGTGGCTATTCACACTTGGTATTATTCAGCAGGTGTTGTCCAAAGGGAGTCACGTGTATCAATAGGTGTATTGTGTTTTACAAGCAAGGGCTAGGTGCTTACAATCTGTGTTCTGCTTCTTGGAAACTAAGAAAGGGGTATGCTTTTTGATTCAATCAATCAATTGCTGGAATGTACAACTTTCACCTAGCCACTGAAATTATAACATGCCACTTTTAGAGCTGAAAACTGGTCTACCTCAAATTACCCTGGAAAAGCAAAGTATCTTAACAATTTGGACAACAGGTTAAGCAAGCCATTTCAGCTGCTATAATGCAATCACTAATGTATTGTAACTACAGTGTCATTTTTCAGGGGGAGTTAAAGAGACAATCTGCCAACTATAGAACTGATCAACATCATGTATGAATTTCAGCACCAACATAATGCCAGCATGATGCTAGCACTTGCTGAACACTCCTGGGTATGTAATAGTTACATTAATATCAATTAAAAATAAGCAGTCAATTTCACAACATGACTCACTTACCCTGCTCAACTGAACCCAGGCACTCCTCAAAATATTGCAAACAAATGCAATATTTTCAAACTTTGCACCGTTTTTAATTACCCAGGAACTTGGGAACCTATAGTTTCCCTTGTCTTTTCAATGACAAAACTTACGCCAATCAGAGTTTACTTGCCAACCAGTCAACACCCTTTACTCCTATAGTAAAAAATTGCTGTCATTATTTAAAATTTAACATTCTTGCATTTATCCAGATGAGGGCAAGATAAGAATGACAAGAAACGTATGCTAAGTTCTATAATTTCAAGCAACATTTTTTTAAAAGAAGTTAAGGGGTGTCAGTACTGATAGGATTGGGTGGGTGGCCGCGATTTGAATGGATAGTGAGAAACTGCAGTAGAAGCAATAGTAGTGAGAGTAACGGGATGACCCACAACTGGAGGAAAGGAAAAAGAGCCCTGGGGGAGTCACAACTCCAACTGAACATCCAACCTGCAGCCATGGGTGGCTCCCTTCCCTCCAAACTACATACCACTCACCAGAAACATGGAAAAAAAGAAACACAGAAAAAAAGAAACACAACAGGGTGAGATAACAAGGTGTAGAGCTGGATGAACACAGCAGGCCATGCAGCATCAGTGGAGCAGGAAAGCTGACGTTTTGGGCCTAGACCCTTCTTCAGAAAATTCATCCAGCTCTACACCTTGTTATCTCAGATTCTCCAGCATCTGAAGTTCCTACTATCTCTAACACAACAGGGTGATATTTGCTTCACTGTAACATTGCTGGACTAGTTATCCAGAGACCTGGAAATATGTCAAATTTTACCATGCCATCTTGGAGCATTTCAACAAAATTCACCTGGAATGAAAATCTAATTTAATTAATAATCATTATTAAAAACTAATTTAGTCCACTTTAGGGAAGGAAAGCCCTGTCTCTATCTGGTCAGGCCTACATATGACACCAGACCCACACAATGTGGTTGACTTTTAGCTACCTTCTGAAATGGCCTAATAAGGCAATTAGATGAATTAAACAAATCCAGGAAAGACAATATAGATTAAAACCTGACAAACCACCCGGTCTTGATCTACGCACTGAAAATGACAAATGGGAACATACTGCAAACTCCTCTACACTGAGTGCTGGGAACTTGAGCCAGAATTGGGAGAGCTGCACCACAGACTAATCAGGCAATAGCCTGACATGGTCATGCTCATTAAATAATACCTTACACCAATGTCTCAGATTCTTATCATTAATCCTGGGTGTACCCTGCTTCGCTGGCAGGACAGGCCCACCATAGGGAGTAATTGAGTCAATATATAATCAGGTCGGAATTGCCTTGGAAGTCCTCAACATCCTGATCACATTAAGTCTTATGACACTAGGCCAACCAACAGCAATAAACCCGCTCGAACATTATCTATTGTTGAGTATTTCATGTTGAGCACTGCTCAGAAAAAGTACTGAGGGTGATAGGGACATAGAATGTAATCTGGATGGGATCTTCAATATCTGTTGCCAAGAGAGGCTCAGTACCACAACTACTGACTGAGCTAGTCAAATCCTGAAGGAAATATCTGCCAAACTGGGACTGTGACAGGTTGCGAAAGAACCAAGAAGGAGAGAAACCTTTGTGGCCACACCCTCACCAATCTACCGCTCACAAGTGAATCTGCCTTTGCCAGTATTGGTAACAATGACGACCATGCAGTCTTTGTGGAGACAAAGTCCAACTTTGCACTGAGGACATCTTCCACTGTGTGGCAATAGATTCAGAACAGATCTAATAGCTCAAACTCGGCATCCATGAAATACTATAGGCCACCAGCAACAATACTGTATTCAACAATAAACTGTAACATATTGGCCAAGCATATCCCTCATTCTACTGTTACCATCAAGTAAAGGGGTCATCTCCGATTTACTGAAGAGCATGTGTCAAAAATAACAAACATTTCTGAAAATGAGCTGTCAACCTGGTACAGCTACATAGATCTCTGTGCAAGCTAAACAGTAGGAGATGTTTATAGATGGAGCAAAACATTCCAGCAAATGTCTGAAGTCTTGCCGAATCCAAATCCGATAATTAATAAGCCAACAGTACGATAAAAGAGGATCCACAAAATCCCAATTCTCGATGATGTGGGAGATCAATACATCAATGCAAAAGACAAGGCTAAAACATTTACACCTTCTTTGACAAGTTGAAGTCCCAAGTGGGTGATTCATTCCTGAAGTCCACACCATCATAGATACCAACCTTCAAACAATTTGATTTGCTCTATATGAAATGGCTGAGGACACTGGATGTAGCAAAGACATGATAACATACATGCTATAGTACCGAGGACTCATGTTCCAGAACTAGCTGTGCCATTAGCCAGGTTGAACCACTACAGTTAGCATTTACCCAACAATGTGAAAAACTGCCTAGACATATCCTGTCAAGTTTCCCAAATTACATGCAAGTCTGACCTGCAACCATATTGTCATTCCTTCCTTCATTGTCACAGCATCAAATCCCAGAATTCCCTCCCTAGCAGCAGTGTGGATGTATCTAAACCATCCAGATTACTGTGATCCAAAAAGACAAATCTCCATTACCTGCTCAAGGCCTATTAGATATTGGCAATGAATAATGGCCTGTCACAGTAACCCTCGCATTCCAAGAATAAATAAGAGTTCACGACAAGAGAAATG